TGTGTGTGTGTGTGTGTGTGTTTCAGAGCCTCAGAGGTGACATTCCTCTGTGTCAGAGCAACAGCCTCAAGTTTAAGATAACACGGCCACGGTGATCTAAGGGTGGGAATCGATTCCCCCCGGTGGCTGGCGAGGGCCTCAGGTCAGAGCTGATGGGTTTACCTTCCGCACGCAACCTGTGATGCAAAACCAAAGTAATGCTGCTGTATAACCAGCTCACAACAACCCTATGGAAAGGCACTATAGTGAGTTGTTGTATTGAACTCAGCATCTTCTCTGATTGTCCAACTGATATTACTATGTTGGTGTTGTGATACTTTAATAACATTTAAGGGAATTAAATCTTGTATTAGGCAAGTAAAAATAATATGGGTCCTCTAGGTCTGGTCTAATCTAGTCTTACCATCCCTGTATGCAAACAATGAGGTTTTTTAGCACAGATATTTCTTTGAAATGACACTGTCCCCTTTTTACCTTATGGGGATTATGCTATAAGATTATGCTTTCACTGGCATTTGTTTGTTTTTCTGATAGTTAACAGGATAACACAAAAACTACTGCAGATACTGAAACTTGGTAGAAAGATACTGCATGGGTCCGAAAAGAACCCATTCAATTTTGGTGCAGATCTAGATCAAGTGGTGGATCCAGGACTTAGTTTTCACTTTACTTCAACATTCCAAGAAAGGGCGCTTTTCAACATTTTTGTTGATTTCTCAGAGAATAATTCATGGACCTTAATGAAAAATGTTTGGAGAACTGATATTTATGAGTTTGTGCGATTTGGTAATCGAATCAGGAATTCATTGGGTATCTTTGGAAAGGTGAGTGTTTGTGGCTCAATGTGAATATATGTTAATTTCAGAGAGAGGGGAATGTGGGAGATCTTAACAAAATCATCTTGATCACGTAGGAAGAACTTGATAACAACATAAAAGTTATAAAAAAAACACTTGGATTAAAATTCCATTCCTATACATTGTTTAATTTTTTCCATGGTATTTTAGTTTATATGTTGAGGTGACTAGTTCTTATTTCAACCAGAAGAGCAGGTTTATATAATCACACGCTCTAACCAGTCTGCATTACGTCCCACATCCACATTTATCTGTCAAAGCTCTCGGGGGAGCTGATATAGCACCTGCAGGAGACTTCGACGCTGACCTGTGGCTCGCCGGACATCTGGGAATATCATACGTGCCTCCTCCAGCTCCACGTCCACCCTGTTCAAACAGACCACCAACTAATTATGGGTTTCCCAGATCCCTGAGCTCAAGAAATCACTACAGAATATAAAGCCACAGGTATGAAATGTTTTCTTTTGTCCCCCTCCAATGTGGATTACTTGATTGTGGAATCAACAACAACAAATGAAAATAAACTCACTCTATAGACTTTAAGCTCTGAGGCAAAGGGGTCACGTTTGTTACAAAAATATAAAATTTTCTTTTGAGTCGAAAGATAACACTCACACTTCAGCTGATGGTGTTTAAAGATGAAGTCTAGTAAAAAGCCAGACAACTTAGAGGAATAACTGATACCTTCATTATTTTTATTCAAGATATTACCAAATATTTACAAAACTGAAAATGCGCAGATCCATTCAGCATTCAGCATTCTCTAAAAACAAAAAAAATAAATAACTTTTATTTGAGATGGGGGAAAGGAATTTTGAACCTGTGTATAAAAATAAATACAAAACACTTCATCTGCTCTGAAACACTGAATTGTCATTTTTCACTCATGTTTCAAGACAGAGCTGTTCCTCAGAGCTCATTTTGTTTGTTTCTTTACAACATTCATATTGTCGCAGTGGTCTCTATTCTCTCTTCATATCCATCCTGTCTGTCCTAAGTGCTCCTTCGCAAACATGACAGTCCATGTGAAGGGAGATGTGAGAAGCCCCCTCTCCTCTCAGGCCTGAAGTACAGTGGCTGCAGTGCCTGGGCCTCAGTGGCTGGCCTGTGTCAGTCTATCTGAAGGGTTGGTCTGTTCCACCAGTTCCTCAGTATGGATATTCTGTGGGAAAAATATCAATTTGATTAAGTGAACAAATCCAATCAATAGAAATAAATCCTAGTATTATAGATACATATGTTATGTATCTTAATACATGTATGTAGGTGCAGGGATGTAACCTGGTTGTGACAATAGGGGATGTAAAAAATGCATATTTACTCTGTAACCCCTCCACCACAACTTTACAAGCTAGTTGTAAAAAAACAACAACTATGTTTTAATGTGTGAGATTCACATTTTAAGGTAGATGGTGAAATATTGCGGTTGTTATACGAAATAATTGCGTAATTTGAGTTTTATAGCCTCTGTGGAGGCCCACATCTATTTCACAACAAACATAAAACGGGCCCTATACATTGTAAAGCGGTTTGTGGGAATTCCATACAAATGTTGCATTGGTGCATCTACCAGAACATTACAATTATCGCCTATCGCTTTGATTTTCCATCTGGGTATTGTGCGTAAAATGCGCATGTGAGTGCATTTTGGCACAGTTTGTCTCCATGGAGGATAAAGTATGACGTGAAAAGAGGTAACCCTACCTTGATGTCCCATCCACAGCAGCTCTGCTAGTGGGACGCAGTAGACAGGGACCACGAGCCCCCCATCCTCCAGACCGAGAACGCGTAGCTCAGGCGTTCGTGCGCCACGTAGCTGCAGCTGGTTCCCCGCGCGTCCAGCTCGTCGCTCTGCAGGACTTGGCACAGGAAGTCGATGTACCGGGCTGCCAGCTTCAGCGTCTGGATCTTGCTGAGTTTGTCAGACGGCAGCGTGGGGATGATCTTCCGTAGCGAAGTGAACGCCTCGTTGAGAGACTGTGTCCGTTGCCGCTCGCGGACGTTGGCCATTACGCGCTGCGTTTGGAGGTCTTCGAAGGAGCGCGCGGGGCTGCTGCTGGCCTCGCTGCCTCCGCTCCCGGCGCTGCCTCCTCCACCGTCACAGCTCTTCCTGCACCTCTTCTTACCGCGGCTTGGGCTCTGACTCTCCGCGTCTCTCTCCTCCTCCTCTGCGTCCACGCTCCTCCGTGCAGCCCGCCGCTTCCTCGCGCCTCTCCGCGGCAGATGACGGTCTGTCTCCTCCTCGCTGTTCCCCGCACTGTCCATCGGGGAGGAGTCCTCTTCCCGCATTGACTTTGTTTTTCCAAAAAAATGTGTCTGTGGACTGGAGGACCGTTATAGCCTCTGACAAGAATCCTCTGAGCTGTTACAACATAAACAAACAGGACAGGTAATGAGGAGCGAGGCCTGCAGTGGGATGTGGGCTGGTGTTACGGTAAATATCGTGCGCCACGGAGAGAGGGAGAGGTGGCTGCCAGACTGGGACGATCGGGGCTCTTATAGGAGCAGGCAGGAGGATTTGGGGGAGCGCTGTGATTGGGTGGAAGAATGTAACATAATACTTAGGGAGAAGGAGAGGTCTAGTTATAATATTAGGAATAGAGTTTAAGTCATCCAGGCTCGTTTTTACACAGGATTGAGGAGAGGGGGTGTAGTCTGGGCGGTGTTATTGACTCGTAGGTGTAGATTTGTGCAAAGGCCGAAAGAATTAGGGATGAATTCTTTCCCTCTACCCCACCCCGATGTATGACTGCTTAAAATGCATTATGTTGTCTTGAATTTACTACTGTACATTTAACTGATTACACATTTGAAGTCTATAAAACGAAATTGGATAAGAGATTAGACCGTCTCCATGTTCACTGAATTTGCTATTTGAGTGGTATATTTTCCAAGTCAGAGACACTGAGACCAGAAATTCCCCTACAGGCCTAATGTCTGATGTTGGGCTTCTTTTTTCTGGTCTGGGCCCTGCTTGGGAGCAGTGGTGAAAAATATCAGTCCTACTGAAACACAGGAGGTTGTCACAGCGGGAGGCCTCCGCTCGTATAAGCAGACCCAAGGTGTTTATTTTCCCGTCAGCAGCCCCGCGTCGAGGTATGCGCTTAAATGGGTCTGACTCACGCAGGGATCTCGACACCGCGGCTCAGGTTTAAAAGACTGGCCGTCCCAGGGAGCTCTCAGGGCGGATCCGTGCGCACAGCGGGACGCAGAAAGGCGGTGGACTGCCGGAGCGCAATGCAAACACTGGAGGTGATAAAGATGGAGGGGGGGGG